TAATAATTCTCTATATGATTTTTATATTATAATATTTAAAAATTTTCTACTTTCGTTTTAAGTATCCCTCTTGATGTTAAGAGTCGGCCATGTTTAGACGTTAATTATAATTATCTTTTAAAGGTTATTAATATAACAAATTAAAAATAATTTTAATTAAAATAATAAAGAACTTACGTCTCTTTTTCTTTATATTATTTCTTTTCGTACATTCGACTAATAGAAAACAATATAAAATAATTAAAATCAAAGAGAACCTTAACGACGCCATTTTTACTTTCTATGTGGGGTTCTCCTGGCTAAAAATTTCTATTGTTATCGACTGTAACCGTTATCCGATGGTAACTAAAGTTATTATCTGTATTAAGATAAGAAGAGTCGAAAGTTCTTTAACTATCGAGCAAAAATTTTTGCTGTTTTAGGTGTGGTATTTTATTGATATTACATATTTTTAAAGGCGTTTTATTAATTTAATCTATTTAAAAATATCTTTATAAAGGGAAAAAATGATAGATTTTTTTTATTAAATAAATATACAATAATATATATTACAGTATATAAAGGACACAATAAATACAGTAAAGTTTATACAGGTTTCATTATATATTCTCTATAAAGAAAATATATCATTGTTTCTCTGTATGTACCATTTTAATAATGTATAAACCTATATATATTTAAAAATTTCGTTTATTTTACGCAATGTATTTCATTATATATTTATTAATCATGTATAATTTGTCGAGATAAAAGTGTTGATAATGTAGCGAGTTTTAATGCTTTGTAACTTTACGCCTTATGTAAATAAGTTGAAGTGTAGGCTTTATATTATATAAATTCTTTATGAATTTAAATACTTTTTATAGAAATTACATAATAAAATATGTTTTTAATTTAATGAAGTTATTTATTTATTTATTTTTTAAATCTTTTACGGTGATTTTAACGTATTGATTCGATTGTAACAGTGATGAATTCGAGTGAGGTAACATCGAATTGTCCATGTTTTCGTGGTAAATACTTAGTTATTTATTAATTAATAATTAAATAAACTATTAAGAAGAATGTTTTTATGTGATGTTTAGAGGATTTCACATAGAGTTTTTTAATAAAATATTATAAAAATGTATTACGAATAGCTGATTACAATTGAGTATGAGGAAGCTTACATCATTATATAATTTCGAGACGACTTATAATCGTTTCGAAACCGTTTGTGTGAGTGTCTGAAAGGCTGATAATAACGGAAATGATATCATCTTAAACGTCATTGGTTCTCATACACCAGAAATAACTGCGTATGTGTTAAAGTAACGTTATTTGCTCAATTACTCATTATAAAAGAATCCGTATTATCATCGTGCTCTTAATTAATGTGTATAATATTTTAAATTACTTTTATCTTTGTTAATATTATCTTAAAAATAAAATAATTATAGAGAAATTAGTAGGAATAGGATCGATTTTTCATCATAAGTAGCTTTTATTGTTCGGCTCTGTTATATAACAGAGAGAAAGTATGGTGATCGGTCAAAAAATTAGCGAAACAACGTGTTTTAGCCTTGTTAAAAACCCTCCAAGTAATAATTTTTTCCTTAATAAACAGTGCCCAGAAATTATTAATAGTGTCTACGATGTTGTGTACGATCTCACCTTTCATTTTGGACCGATAAAAAATCATGTGTTTTTTTCATAACAATAGAATTTCAGGTTAACTGAAATACCCTACAAATCGGATAATTTCGCAGACATCTTGGGTAACGCTGTCATAATCTACAGCAATTTCATATCATCTACCTCAGAAGATAGCAAATATACCAAATCTATCCACATATGTCTATTTGAATCGTTACAGTGGGCTCTGAATACGTTCAAATTAGAAATAATCAAGCTGCACATTGCTATTAATGGAAATTTGTAAGTAAAACAGTATTTTATTATATAAAATACTTGTAAAAAGTTGGGAATAAACATGAATACTCTGCTATTACATCACTTTCAGAGGATAAAATTGCATTTAAACAGAAAGATACTGAAGGACTATATGAATCGGCACTTGCAAGAAGGAAATTAGTCTTAAAACCAATTTATTAGAAAATTACAGAATTTTTTTTTACATATTTATTTATTTAAAACGAAATTTTTATTGCATGTTTACTGCGCGCTGTTGTAGAACAATTAAAATGTAAATAGGTTCTCTCTAGAAGTAGAGTAGTATTCTGCCCATTATGATCAAAATTGTACTAAAACTTATAATGTTTGTACAGTAAAGACTTGATTAAAATAAGTCAAATTTATTGAAAAAATACAGAAATGTATAAATTATCATTATTTTAAATTGTACGCAAAATAATAAATCAAACAATTTTATTAAATAGTTTATTCATTAAACCAACTGTAGAAGTTTGTGTATTAAACCATTCCACATACATTTCTAATGCCCAAGAAACCACATTCTTTAAAAATGTGGTTTCTTGGGCATTAGAAATGTATGCGGAATGGTTTACTTCAAGTCTTTACAGTAATGTTTTTTTATTGGAAGAATGTGTATTTATTTCTATTTTATTTTTTAGACGAACTTGTTAAAACAAACTTCTACTTCAAAAAGTATTATCACTCTTTCTATAAGTCTTTTTCTAAGTATATGAAACATTTTATTGAATATGACAATTCTTCCAGATTATTAGCAGATTATTTTTCCATAAGCAGAATCCCCAATAGGATAAGAATTCGCAAAACATAAAGGATAATATACAGAATTGCATTATATTTATATTGAAACGTTTAAATAAGTGTATTATCTTAATTTTTAATTAATTAATTATGTAAATATACAAAATTTCAAGTCGTACTGTCTTATATAAAAGCGTAGTACGAGCGCCATTTAAACAACCGTTTATATTTCCTTTATACTAAATTAATCGAGTAAAATGAGATTTGCTTGTGATCTATTGTGAAAATTCTTTACTATAATGTACTTCACGTAGAAAATTATATATATATATAAATTATATTATATAAAATAAGAATGATAAATGCGGTCGCAATTTACTTAATTAAACATAGACGAAAGAATAATATAATTTAGTTTACTTGAATATAAATATTATACGAATTTTTTCAAGACCCACTGTTTTAAGTTCAAAGAATGAGGTATGTTTGAGTTGTGTCCTGTTTTCATTTACGTCAATGTCATTGATCTACTGTTGGTAATTATTTTTATACCTTGCTCCCGTGTACCGAAACCCAATGCTTACTTGCTCAAACTTTTCAATTTTTACATTTCCCGTATTGAAATGTTTTATTGGATGCATTTCTTACTCCTTATTTGTATGATGATTTCTTACATATGTGAAAAAATGCCTTGCTTTTGCTGGTATTCGGTTATCGACAATGATATATATGTTAGAGTAGTCCTTGCCACAGCTGCATTGGCTACAACTTTAATATTCAGTATTATCAAAAGAGTCGAGTTAACGGCAGAGATCAAATTAAGAAAGTCTTATCGTTTCCCTATAGACAAATTATATGCTATTATCCATAAAGTACAATTCTATTAAGTAATGACTACTGTGGGTTTTACTGTATTGTTTGAATATTCAATCCTTTGTATATTTTATACCTTTATGGAACGAAGAAAACCCTACAAATACGAACCGCATAGAAGTTGGCACTGCTACTATTTTAATGGCTGGTGTCATAACATATATTTGTGTTTCTTGTCTTGTTTATTCTGACTTTAATGAATGCATTCGAAGAAGTATCAGAAGATTTGTATCTGTTAAAAAACTATTGTCCAAATTTGAATTCAGAATTAGAAGAAATTATTGTACATGACGGACTTTGGAACCTTTTCAAACAACTGAACGGGCCATTCAATTACGTATTATCAATTTTATACGGCGGTGTTTTAGTGATACCAAGTCTAATCTACTTTAATTTCATCTTCACGTCAATGTAATTAGAGATGAAAATGATCTTTTCTGCATTTTGTATCTTTAGGACTTTGTATTATATTATAATAGGATTTTCGCATTCTGACTTCACATCTGCTGTAATGTATTTTTCTCGTATACAGAAGATTTCAATTTGAAAATACAATATGACTATTTGTTAAACTGTAACTTGGCAATTGTTAGTATGTATGGAAATTTAAGATTATTATTTCTAATTAACGTTTCTTAATATTGAGTGTTATTTATCGTATCACATATTATTTTAGTACAGTCATTCAATATAGATAATCACAAAAATGAATTTCGATTTCTTGTATTTCTGTCAATATAATTTTAATTTTTGTACGAAAAATTCTATTCTAATGAAAATAATGTATTAAGATTATACTAAGTTGATGAAATAAAATAATTTCTGATTAACATTATATATTTGTGTATTTGCATTTATGCTATTCATCAATGGGGGAATGTATTAACTGACCCGAATTATCGAATTTAGCACTTATGCTATTCGCAGCATTAGAAATAGATTTCTGTGAAAGAAAAATTACTTGAAATCTTCGTCACTAGTCGAATATATGGCGCTTCTGTAACAAATAGAGTGTTGTAGAAATGGAAATCACTGTAGAAAACAACGTGCATCGATTACATAACGCAGTAAGTATCTCGTCAATAATGTAAGACATTGATGGTGAGATACAGCAGATGGACCTAGGTAAAGTATGTATGAAAAGTGCGTATCAAGGCAGAGAGGCCTTATGACAACCTCAAAATGACAACCTCAAAATTTTTAAAGTTTCGCCCAGTCAAAAAAGCATCAAGGAATCTTTGCACGTGTCTTCTGTCATGAGTTAAGGGAAAGTTGTGTGGCGCCATCTGTTATGTGATTTTATTGTAAAGTATACTTTTATTATTATTTATTATAAAAGGCAGGTGGGCCCTCGTCAGATGGCCCATATGTCGCGTTACCGTAACTAAATAAATCAAAGTTGCCTGGCATCGTTGTATATCGTCCTTTGTCTGGGTCAAAGTCCATCTTTTTCGTTACTTGGCAGGCTTTTTAAAACTTTATATGTATTCGGTAACAATAAACAAATACCAGAGTTAGACGTTGATTTGAGAAAAGAATGCTTTTCACACGATCCTAGTCTTTGTAAGTCTGGAAGCTTAGAAAGACCAGGATTAGTTTGTTTCCACAAGATTAACAAAACATTAATTGCTGTCTTTGTAGAGGCCCTAAAATAAAATTAAGGAAAGTTATGTAACGGGTGTAAATAAATATATATATAAAGAGAAATTGTTTATTCCTTTGTTTGTTTCTTAAACTTTGAATGATTCGAGCCACCCTGCGAGAAACTCTACCTTTTAACGATGACAACTCGTATGTTATAGTTAAAACCACACCATTCTTTGTTGAGAGCTTGGACATTGCCTAGTGATGCGGAAGATCAACTAATGCTGCAAAGATATTGTGAAGAGGATGATAAATACATAGATCAGATCTCATCTTTCTGTCTCTAAAACATTTCCTATTCCTTATATACAGAACAAAAAAATATTTTTACATCCTTAAAATAACGAATTATCTCAATTCGTTATTGTAGCAGCATCTAAAATGGATTTGATAATCTCGTTCTGTTTCTTATCCTTAAATCTAAAGCAAATATTAAATAATGAGATAAACAAACAGGATATAAAACACCAAAACATAAATTGCATATAACATTACACATAATTATACATTTACATTATTACAATCATTATATATAAGCTCTATAAATTTATATATAAAATAGACTACTTTTTTTATATTCTAACATTTTAAAATATTAGAAATACTTATCATTTCCTGGTATGTAAAAGCGTAAAGTAAACACCGTTTCTACCTGTGTTGTGATAATACGTCACGTGTTTTCAGTTTAAACGTTAGATCAGCTGAATAAATTTCTCTACAGACGGGCGAGCGTTGTGTTTATCAAAATTGCCTTCTGTAAGTGGATCTAAATATGTCAAACTCAACTACTGTCATCAAAATTAAGGACAGTAACTCAATTATACGTTCACCAGTTACCTTAGCAGTAATTTCAGCTGTACTACTAGCAGCCATACTATTTTTTGTATGGAGAATAGTACTGAGAGTACAGAAGAAGAAACAATTATTGAAAGATATAACACCAAAATCGGATCATCGAATAACTGGGGTAAGACTTAACGATTCTATACGTTTCGTGGTTCCTACCTTACAAATTTACGAAACTACAGAGGATTCACTTTCGGAAACTGATTCGAATGGTTCGAAATTTTCGGATAGAGATGGACGAGTACGTAGAATGAGCTTCACAGGATACCAAATACAACCTCAGGATCTGGAGAAGGATCTTTATGAAGATGATGTACAGGACAATTGTTTAAAAAATGGTAGAAATGTAGGACGTTTGGGATTTTCTTTACATTACATTTACGATAGACAAGAATTACGTATTCATCTCATTGCCGCAACCGATATTAAGTCTCATTTCATGAAAGGTACAGCAAATATTTATGCTAAATTACGTTTATTACCAGAAAAGTCTACCAAATATTTTACACGTGTTCACAGGAACACGCTGGATCCTGCTTTTAATGAAACTTTCGTTTTTTCTGTTAAACCAAACGAAATTCAACATAAAATATTATATATAACTGTATGGGATTACGATAAATATTCTAGGAAAGTTAGAATTGGTGATGTTAAATATCCCATTAAAAACTCAATTAGCGAAGACTTTATTAAAGATTTATGGTTAAATTTGAAATTTAATTGTGATAAGGTGAGTTAAATTTATTTATTAAATATTTAAAAATATACTTAAATTTTATAAGCTTATTTTTATGTAGATTAATGAGAATTGTGGAGAATTACTGATATCAATTTGTTACAATCGAGAAAAAACAACTCTTACTCTTACTATATTAAAAGCCAGGAATATTTATATAGAAAAAAACGAGAAAGATAAAGGTAATTATTATTAAAATCTTTAAGCCTGTCTGTCTGTCACGCATTTAACAATAAATGAATTATTAAAATTATTTATCCATAGCATCAGTATACGTCAAAGTTACATTGTACGTTCGAAAGAAGGTAATTCGTGCTAAGAAAACGGTTTTAAAACGTAAAATTCCGGAGGTAGAATTTAATAACAGTTTTCACATCCATGTACTTCCTTCAGCTCTTGAAGAAGTTGATATTTTAATTAATTTATACGGAAGATCCGGAATTGGTAGGAAATATATCATTGGAGGAACACAAGTTGGAGCGAATTGCATTTGTAATCAAGGAATTCAACATTGGCAAGATATGATCGCTAGCTTAAATAGCACTTCTATTCATTGGCATACACTAATGCGTTAAATGTATTTTATATTTCAAGTCTGGTAAAAGACAACGTTTAGGGATTAGTTTGATGAGTGCAAAGCAATACTTGAATATACTGATAAGGAGCGCCTTCGACTCCTATTAAGGTATCAGACACGCGACGAAAACCCGAAAAACTTCACGTGCCAGTCCTTTAGCTAGGCGCGAACCCAACAAACTATTATAGTTAAGTGGTTTATTTAATCGTCCACTGTGAAACACTAGTTTAAAAAGAACGTCTCCTGTCACTTCGCGTCCAAACGCTTCATTACTGTATTCTATAAATTTACGTGCCTCAGTATTCTTATATAGTAATATAAATACGTTATTAGAAAGATGAGAAAGTAATGTTCTTAATAACATATCTTTTTCTATTTTGTGATACGTTCTTAATGTTCTGTGACGCGAAGCGACAAAGCGAAGCGATGCGGCAAATACGCGACCGCTTCGCTTCGCCATCCAATATGGTAGACATCTCTACGATAGTGTCATTTATGTATTTTATTTACCGTAATAAGCTTATTATTTGATTTATGTTATATAAACATAAAAATGAATACCATTAAATAATTTTAAGTGAAATTGGTATAATAAGATGTGTATTTTCATAATAATATAAGAAATTATATGAAGAAAATGAGTTGTGAAATAATACATAATTATAAACAAATTATTATTATGTATTTATTCTTATTATTTTTATCTAAATAAACTGTTTAAAAATTTAAAAAAATCATTGTTTTACTTGATAAAACTCATAATTAAAGAATATTTATTATATACACTAAATTCCTCTTCAAATTATCATCTATTTTACAAATTTAAAGTTAGAAAATGGATGATAAACATATCTCCATCTAAATAAATATAAATAATAAATAAAGTGTGTGTTAGTAATAAATATACAGACTAATTAATTTCTATTAATAAATTACTTACTTTATCCATTGATGTATCATATAAACAATTATAACAATGCAAGTAAGAACAGCCAAAGATACATTTAGATATGCAAAAATTTCACTCTATAAAATTATAAAAAGATTTGTTAAATACATAATAACTTATTAAAATAATATTAAATTATTACCTTTACTATAGGTCTATTATGAAGGAATGTAAAATTGCACATCTGCATTGAAACGTTTTTAAATAAATATCCTTGCATTTAAATCTAATAATTCTCTTCAAGTTCTAGAAACTGATAAATGAATTTACATCGTTAATAATATTTAAAGTTCAGTAAACATTCCATTTTAACGGTACAGGTAAGTGGATTAAGTGGCAAATTTAAACTTTTGACCCTTTCACTGATAACGTCACGTCTGTATGTAACTAAAGAATTAAACCGCTACGCAATTACGATCACTTTCGTTGATAAAGGTGGAGTGACGATAATAAATCTGAGTGTATTTTATATATATATTTTGCTTTACATGTTTCCTATAAATTGTTTAATGTGTCTATCATTCGAATTTAATTGTATTTCTGAAAAAAAAAACCACGAGAAAATATTTAGTTCAAACATTGCAAATTGTTAAGAACACTGCGTGAACTCAATATTTTAGCTTCTTAATAAGCATTTTCTTTTTAAATACTATCATACAATATATACAGTATAATGTTGTACAGTATATATATTGTAGTATTAAACATGCTGATAAAAGTGAAAAGTGTTGAACTGTTATTTTGAAAAAAAAAAAAATCGTAACTTTCCGAAGCTTTGCCTTTACTTATCGATGGTAAGATAGGAACTAAAAGTAATCACCAATTACTGGAAAATTTCATTAAAGTTACACGAAAATAATAAAGAGTTTCTAGGCAATCATTGTATGTTTTATACTTGTTGGAAATACTGTAGAATAGCTCTAAATTAAAGCAGAATTCAGATTTATCTTTTATTTTATAAAAATACAAAATGTGTATAAATCTAAAGATCGATCGTCAGTTCAAAGAATCGAATTTACTCGATAGAGTTCAAAGAATCGATCGAGTTCAAAGAAATCGATTTACTGCTTATCATTTAGGATGAGTGAAAATCGATTGTATTGTTGTATCTATATTTTAAATATAAATCAAATGTACCAAAATATGTATATGTTTGTACGATAATAGAGTAAGTACATTAAACGAAATTATATTCATCTGAAAGTTTGAAGTCTACAATTTACGCACGTGTCCAAAACTACATAACGGATGGCATTAGCACACGTACAGTACATGAATAGAGCGAATTGTAAGTGAATGCATACGAATTACTCGATCTTTAACACAGGGTAATACAAAATAACTTGTAGATTTTACAATTTAAGACAATAAAAGTAAAACTTGGAGATTAGATACAGCAGTCAGACTTAGGTGAATTATAGATGAAATGGTCTTACTAATACTAAGACCTTTCGGTATGCAATACGCCAACCTCAAAGTGAGATGCAAAAGTAGCAAGAACGACGTGACAGGCTGATCATCACATAACTTTTTTTAGCTATCAATCTCTTGAGTTAGTGTTTAATTAAGTTTTGACACGTGTGTAGTAAAACCTATTTGAACTGGAACATAGATATTTCAGTCACTTTTTCTATTTCATATTCCATTGATATAAAGTTATATCTTAATTTATTAATTAGAATTGTGACCGAAGGGTCAACACTTGTTTGATGCCTCGTTAGGATCACCATCGTTTCTCATTTGGCACGGAAGCCGCGACGGCATGTTGTTTGGTATTCAAAGTTGGTCACGCGATGGGCCGCATGTTTGAGCGATCAGATTCCTGATGGAGTCTGTGTGACAACGAGTTCAAAGTGACTCATTCGGATTAAAGTTATACAAACAAATTCGGTAAGCGTTTGATACTGACTTTGATTTAATAATTATTTCTGTCTACAATATGCAATGTATGCAATTTTGAGTTTTGCAGCTATTCGAATTGTATTTTTATAGCACTTTGCAAATATCATTCTTGTTTTGAGTTGATTCCTCACGAGGTTAACAATAAACGTGCAATGTGTCGACATCAGTATTACGAGTATTTATCGTTGCTTTCCACTGTTAAAAAAAAGCAATTTTCGAAAGTAACTCAAGCTAAATAACATTTTACTTGGATATTCGATGTTTAAAAATAGAAATTTTAGAAATATTTTAGGTTTGATAAGTTATTTATCAGTCGGTCAAATTCAAACAAGGAAATAGAAATCCTTGTTAAGGCAGTCAAAACCCTTGTTAGTTAATTCTCACTTCTCACTAATCAACTTCTCAAGTCAAATTGTATTTCTGAGACACCAAAAGTTTGTATGGAATTCAATTTAGAGCAGAAATATTGTGTTCTTTTCTGCAATTGCAATGTGAAATCTTTTTCTTATTTAACAAAAAACAGTATTAAAGATTTACTTTTCAGTAGTAGTAATTACGTTCATTTATAGTGGTAAGCATCAGCACTATTTTCGAAGTCTGAAAATATCTATTATTTATTATTATTATTACGTTTCTTCTGTATACAGTCGACCCCCCTATAAGATATAGATACGTTCCAATTTATTAGGAATCCGATATCTTACAAGTCGTTCCAATCACAGCCCGACACGTGTCAAGTTTACGGACTACGGCTGATTGAAAGGTTTTTTTCCATAAAATTAATCGATTCTACATTAATCCGACTCAACATTTTTAAAATACGTATATTTTTTCGTAGTTTTATAGGAATCGTAATTATAGGGACCGTAATTATAGGGGGTCGACTGTACTAAAAATCACACAATAATAATATTATTAATAATTCACTTTCCTTTTGATTAATTAACGCCGCACCGATCCCTTTTTGAAAGCTCATTATTACTTTTAAGCCGTGCTTACAGCAATAAAGATTATCATATTATGTATATATTATTTGATGCACATACATTACACTTTGTGTATTAAATAAAAAAAATTGTGAATTTTGAAATTAAAAAAGAAATTGTACTTTATAATATAAATTTATTGCACGGTGTATCTATTTTGATTTTACGGATGACTGTACTGTACATAAAGGCTATCACAGCCTTTCGTGTTTAAAAGGAATATTATATCATAATGTGAGATCCGAAAGGCCCCTGGGCCTCATTTATGAATTTTTATTAATATGTTTAAATTATCGACAAAATATTATTTCATTTTGTGTGAAAAAACTGGTGTTTTAGACGTGGGAAAAATAGATGACAGATGACACTTCCTTTCCACAGAAGAGAACATCCGCTGTTTTTCCCTTATCCGTTAAAAATCTCGCTCAGATGGGAAATGGTTACCCCTCATTCATCCCCCTTTCATCCGTTCTCACGAAAGAGTTACTGAACGATGATTGGACGAAATTTTGAGATAAAAGGAGAAATTAGTCAGAATTCGAAGAGTTCTCCGACCGATTGAAAGTGTCCAAACTCCACATACGTTTTCCTCCTGATGGCCAACGCCCATAACGGAGTCCGATAGACGAAGTCCGAGTCTACACTTAGAAGAAGTGATAATTTTATATTTTGTGCACGAATTAATCTCCCATACGAAAGAAAGATGAACCCTATCTACAAGGTGTCCTATAACTACAGAAACGAAGACGACAACTAACAGGTCGTATGTTTAGAATCATTTTGTGAGCTCTCTCTCGAACGCGCATTAGCTTAAATATAAGCCGTAGCCTAGAGCTTGTCGTATTATCGTTGTATTTGGTTATTTGTATTCGTTTGTTTGAGATATATTAAATTATACTTATGTTAATTATAATCAAGAATGTCTCCTCAATTCATTCCGAATCAGATCGTTATCGCGTGTTTGTCCGCGCCTCTATAAATTGACAAACTGGTGTCGGGAACCTGACGAAGGAAGAAGGTGAATTCGCCTTCACCAACTTCCGCTCTAAATTATAATATAACCGTAAAGCCCTCCACACTCGTTCCCTACGACGGGGAAAGGCCGTTCTTTGGACGACTGAGAGCTGGTCTTACCGACTAGTGCCCGTAAGTGGCGTAGATTAAGACCTACGTCCTTGGCTACTCTCACAGTGGTGTCACGGGAGTGGGGTCTCGAGCTTAAGAAAAACCCCCTAATAGACTCTCACATCTGGTGTAGCAGGAGTGAGTTTTTGAACTTAAAAATCTTTAAAAACTTCTCACAAGCGGATCTGATTCGGATTGAGAGACGACTAGTTGAACATTTTTCTTATTTCTACTTATCAACTAGTTTTAAGTTTCCTATAAGTTAAAATGGATAGAGATAGGGAAGAAACTCCGCGAGCTACGATAGCGGGTAATCCCACGGCGTTGGGAGGATTGGGAGGAATGATCCCATTATTACCTGTCTTCTCAGGGGACGCGAAAGGTCCAAAAGTGTCAGAATTTTTCGATACGTTAGCGGATGTGAATAGAGTAGCAGCATGGACGAAGGCACAAATGCTAGCTGTAGCTAAATTAAAATTGACTGGCATTGCTCGGGAATTCGTACGTAAGGATCGGCGAGTAAAAGACGTGGAGGATTATGAGGAATTTAAGAAAATAATGTTAGAACGTTTTGAGAAGGTCCCATACACATATAGAATCCAGAAATTCTACGCGTGCGTCCAGGCCAGAGACGAGGACGTACAGACATACGCCGTACGACTCCAGGCTTTAGCAGAGGAGGTTGAGATTGAACACGAAGGCGCGAACGAAACCGAAATCGAGGTAATAAGACGAGTTAAGGAGAAGGAGTTGGATGAACGCTTAAGGATCCAATTTTTAAATGGGATTAATATAAAAATCCGTCAAAGAGTTATGTCTAGGGAACCCGAATCATTCGACCGCGCGTTAGAAATAGCAGTTAAAGAAGAAGAGATTGAGTCCCTTACTGCAGGGAGAAGTAACTATATCAGAGTCCTTAGAGACGCAAATGAAGAAAAGGCAGAAATTAATGAAATACAAGAAATTCAAAGGCAAATAGATAACTTAGTGGAACAGTTAAAAATTTTAAAGGGAAAGGACAGATATAATCAATCTGAAAGAGAAGCGCACTTCCGTAAAGACGCGGACATGAAAAAGCGAGATCGAAATAGAGATAAGCATTTCCGTTCGCCACCGCGCAGTTATAGAGAAACAGATATGTGGGAAGGTACATTGTCTAATGTTAGGACAGATGATAGACCGATAGTAATGGTTTATGTAAATAACTTACCCACTAAATTTAGAGTTGATGAAGAAGCAGACACTTCACTAATATCTAAGCGCATTATAGACAGAATCAAGCGAATAAAGTCTTTTTACAATAAACTGCCGGTAATGATAGATAATT